CTCATTGTTGCAGAAAGCTGTGGAGGTTAAGTCATTGACTGTACTTAAGACAGAGATAGATAGACTCTTGATTAGTAAGAGATTGAGGATTACAGAGAGAAGGCAAGAGAATGGGGTTGAGAAGCATGATCAGCCAGGATCAAATGGTGGAACAGACTTGATGGGTTAAATAGTCTAATTCTGCTCCTAATCCAATGGTATTATTAAGAAAGGGTCATCACAGCAGCATGCTTGACAAGTGTGTTAAATTTCAGGCCACATGCTGTGTCTTTGCAACACCATTGTACCTACTGTCCAAGCATTCATTGAGATCAGGAGCTTTCAGATGTATTAATTATCTGATTATTAATTGTTGTTTACCTCCTTGTCTGAAGAATCCAGGGTGGTGTAGTAATCTCCTCTTTTGCAATCTGAAGCTCTGTCTAGATCCTTCTTCTATCGAACACCTCAACTATTTCTCAAGTGGAGGGCAATCAACACTGGCTCTTTCAGTGCTATAACTCCATAGTTTATTTGCCAGTATTTTCACTCTTCAATTCAGTATTAAACTTCAACAAAAATGAAAGCTGAAAAATGTATGGAAGTGGGGCATGGTAATCTAGTCTATGGTACTAGGCTGGCAATTCAAAGGTTGAGCACAAATCCCATCTTTGCAAGTTGTGTTAATTCAATAAACATGATAAAATTGTGACTGCCCCAGAAAATGCCTAAGAAAACTGTTGAATGGGCATGTAAATCCAACTGGGCTCTAGAGGGAAGGGGGTTGTCACAGTTACAACACTGGCATCTATCCAACAATGTGGAGAATTGCCCAAGTATGCCCTGTAGACAAAAAGCAGAACAAATCCAACCCAGCCAATTACTGTTGCATCAATCATCAGTAAAGTGTTGGAAGGTGTCATTAACAGTGCTATCAAGCAGCACTTGCTCAGCAACAATCTGTTCAGTAACACCCTGTTTGGGTTCTGCCAGGCCCACTCAGTTCCTGATCTCATTACAGCCTTGGTTCAGACATGGATAAAAAAGCTGAATTCCAGATGTGAGGTGAGAGTGACAGCCCTTGACATCAAGGCTGCATTCAACCGAGTTTGGTAACAAAGGACACTAGCAAAATTGGAATCAATGGATATCAAGGGGCAAACTCTTTGCTGTTTGGAGTCATAGATGACACGTAGGAAGATGGTTTGTGGTTGTTGGAGAAACAGTCATCTCAGCTGCAGGATGCCTCTGTAGAAGTTGCTCAGGGTAGTGTACAAGGCTCAACTATCTTCAGCTGCATCATCAATCATCTTCCCTCCATCATAAGGTCAAAAGTAGGAATGTTCACTGATGATTGCACAATATTCAGCACCATGCATGACTCCTCAGATACTGAAGCAGTCCATGTTCAAATGCAACAAGATCTGGACAATACCCAGGCTTGGGCTGACAAGTGGCAAGTACCATTCATGCCACACAAATGCCAGGCAATGACCATCTTCAATAAGAGACAATCTAACCACTTACCCCTTGACATTCAGTGATGTTACCATCACTGAATACCCCCATGATGAACATCCTTGGGGTTACCATTGACTGGAAACTCAACTGGACTTGCCATATTAATACAGTGGCTTCAAGAACAGGTCAGAAGCTAGGAATACTGAGGTGAGTAACTCATCTCTGACTACCCATAGCCTGTCCACCATCTACAAGGCACAAGTCAGGTATGTAATGCCTGGATAGGTGCAGTTCCAACAACACGCAAGAAGCTTGACACCATCCAGAACAAAGCAGCCCGCTTGACTGGCAACACGTCCACAAGCATCCACTCCCTCCATGGCTAATGTTCAGTAGCAGAGTCTGTACTATCCACAAGATGAACTACAGAAATTCAAAGGCTCCTTCGACAATGCCTTACAAACTCATAACTACTTCCATCTAGAAGGACAAGGGCAGCAGAATCATGGGAACACCTCTGCCTTCAAGTTCTCTCCAATCCACTCACCATCTTGACTTGGAAATAGATCCTTCGTTGCTGAATCAAAATCCTGGAATTCCCTCCCTAAGGACATTGTGGGTCACCTACAGCAGGTGGACTACAGTAGCTGAAGAAGGCAGCTCACTACCGCCTTGTCAAGGGGAACTAGAGGCAGGCAATAAATGCTCGCCAGCTAGAGACTCCCACAAGTGAAGAAAAAAAGCCACAAGAATTAGTGCTGTTTATATATTTAAACTATTTATAATATATATCAATGAATTAGCCAAAGGGACTGCATGTATAATAACTAAACTTGCCAATGACACCAATATAGGTAGGAAAATGAGTTGTGAAGAGAAAGTAAAATGCTTACAAAGGCATAAGGAGGACACCGGAGAACTGGGTGGATTTTTATGACAACCTTGTAGTTTCATGGTTAGTTTTACTAACTTTTTAAAAGTCTAGATTTTTATTTCGTTAATTGAATTTGAATTCCTGAGTTGCCAAATTGGAATTTTACTTCTTGCCTTCAGATCACTCTTCCAGGTTTCTGAGTTGTTAGTCCTGTAACATAATCTCTAGGCTCCCATATCCCCACTGTACTAAATATAATGAAGACCTTCCTTTTCCTATCTCACTAATTTTCCTTGTTCCCATTTCCCTTCCCAATTGAACATTCCATCATGCTCCAGGAGTTTGTTCACCAATTTGATAACTTGCTGTGATAATCTGAACCTGAGGGTAGTGGACCCCAGCTACATTTAATTGTTCCTCCTTGTATAGGGCTAGGCCTTTCAAGTGATTGATCTTTTTTGCCTGGCTATGATTTTTCAATGGAAAGTAGCAGTGATTCCACTTAGAGTCATAGAGTTGTACAGCATGGAAACAGACCCTACCGTCCACCTCGTTCTAGCCGACCAGATATTCTAAATTAATCTAGTCCCATTTGCCAGCATTTGGACCATATCCTTCCAAACCCTTCTTATTCATATATCCATCCAGATGCCTTTTAAATGTTGTGATTGTACCAGCCTCCACCACTTCCTCTGGCAGCTCATTCCATACACAGACCACCCTCAGTGTGAAAAAGTTACCCCTTAGGTCCCTTTTAAATCTTTCCTCTCTCATCCTTAAGCCTTGCATCAAAACTCTTTCGGTTTAACTAATGCAATTTATGATAATTGTCCTATTCACATGTGACATCTATTTAATATTAATATGGATGGTATTTCTATAGGGGAATACAAGTGCAGCAAATATTATTCATTTTTTAGAGGTTATCATTGAAAATAACTCATTTATTATGCTGCTGGAGGTCTGGTGACTGCCAGGCTGATACAAAAAAGAATCCTTATCAGCAGATGTGCTGTTTTAACAGTCTCAATGTAGTCTGTATAGGATAATAATGGGAAGAAAGGTTAAATCTATCTTTTTGCTGTTTGTGATTAGAAATTTTTTGTGTAATAGACTTATGATCTTTTTGTTTAAAGGTACATTGGCAACCTCATGTGACTACATTCAGTGACTGACCACCATGGTAACCAAATTGCAAAAATAAAACTTATGGTCTATCAAGCCAGATTTCACTTTGAAAACTTACTTGTCCAGTATTACAGTCAGTTAGGAGCATAACATTGTTGAATACAGGTGCAAAAATACAGTAAGCACAACAATAACAACAATAATGGTTACTGAAGTTGAGGTTGGGAGCTTTATACTAGAACATCACATGTTATGCTATCGCCTAACAGGTACATGCCTATAGAAATGATCTAAGCTCAGTTGCAGGACCTTCCTTGCTGGTGCTGTCACCTTCCGAGCTTTAAGGGGGTTTCCCAAAATGGGAAATGGATCTCATAAACTTCTAAGAACCAGTACGGCACAGAATGAACAAGCATGAGAACTTCATGAGCGATTAATATAAACTTTCACAGAATCATTCAGCAAAGGAGGACACCACTTGGCCCTTTGTACCTTTGCTGGTTCTTTGAAGGAGTTATCAAATTAGTCTAATCGACCCATGCTTTTCCCCCTAGCCCTGTGAATTTTTCCTTTCAAGTATTTATCCAATTGCATTTAAAAATTATTATTTGAATCTGCTTCTTCCATCTTTTGTAACAGTGCATTCTAGACCAGAACAATTTTCCTCTTCAGTTACTTGGTTGTTGAAGAGTTATTATGGTTTCTTCCATTGTATCTGAGTGGTCTAAGGATGGAGTCAATTCAAGCCCTTAAACATCTAGGTCTTTTGGAAATTGTGGTTCCTGCATCAGATATCAATGTGTGAGTTGGAGTGTGAAGGTTGTGCACCTGATTTGCAGTCTGCAAAAAATCCTATCTGTATCAGCTGACCAAGTACTCAAAATTTGTCTTGGAATGGATGTGGTGTAGGTTCACTTGGGATAAAAGAGTTAACTTATAAGAACAGGTTGCACAGATTGCTGAATGACTCTTTCTGCACTGTAACAACTCTGTTACTCTGCTTTTGAGAAGAGATTGAAGGCGATCTAACTTATTTAAGATGGTTAGGATTAGATAGGATAGAAAGAAAATATTTCCCCTGGTTGGGAAATTGAAAACAAAAGAACCTAACTTTAAATTCGGAGCTAATATGTTTGGTGTGATGTCAGGAAGCATTTCTTCATTCAAAGAAAGGGTAGTGGAATCTGAACCTCACACCAGCAAAAATTTGTTGAAGCTGGAGCTTATTGAAAATTTGAGTTTGGTACATTTTTTTGGAGGAAATGGCAATAGGGGTCAAGCAACTAAGGCAGGCAGGTAAAATACGTATCAATCATGATCTAACTGGATGGTAGGTCAGACTGGAGGGGCTGAATGGCTTTGCTCTGTTCCTACATTCCTAATCCAGGATTTGAAATGCAACAGGTAAGGTTAGATTGCTATTCTCAAGTTTTGGTGGAGAGGTGGGCCCCCTCAGAAGATTTCATGGTTGGCTAAGGACTAACGATAAAGCAAATTTTAAAGGATGATTGGAATTTTTAAAGTGTGCATAAATTAACTGGAATGTTTCCTGTTTCAGTTTCTTATAGCTGAGAGCGATCGAGGGGGTTTGTGCAACATTGACTGCTCCAAAGCACAACAGAAGCCAGTCTGTGGGAGTGACAGAAAGTTCTACAAATCCCACTGTGCCTTTCAGCGAGCAAAATGCAGGGATCCGACCCTTGAAACAATGCCACGGAGCCGATGCAGTGGTAGGGATGGAAACATCGAAGCAGAGCTGATTCGTCCACTAGTCAATGATGTACTAGATCTAGTCCCTTCATTGGCCTCATCGCTCCCATCTTTGTAACCTTAACTAGTTCTGCAATCTTCTAAAAACTCAGCTTTCCTAAAATTCTGGTCTCCAAATTCTATCATCCTATCATAAGTGGTTCATCTGTCATCTCCTAAACCTTTCCACCTCTGCACTTCTCTTTCCTCCCTAAAAGCTACCTGTGGCCAAGCTTTTAATCACCCGTGGATCTGTGTCAAATTTTAATCTGCATGCTAAATTTTGGGAATTTGACTACAGCAAAGATGCTATATAAATGCAAGTTGTGTCACAGATCCAGAATTCCCATTATCAACAAACTTTATCATTTCTTCCAAAATCCTCCCTTCCTCCTTGCTGATTCCTTTTGCCATATAAAACTTACCAAATTGTACCTTTCCACACTTTTTAAAGGTATTTCATTATCCCCTCTTTCAAGATACTTGCTAGTACGTTAGCCACAATTGATGCTGCAGTTTGTTGCCATACTCCTTTCTAAGAACTGTGCAGTGTTTCTCAATGGGCTATCAACTTAAGCTATGGACTGAATAGAGCTCTTTTAAAATTATAAGGAGACTCCATTATGGTGAGCATAGAGAAGATGTTTCTACTTGTAGGGAATCCACAGCTATGGGACATAAATATCATATAATCACTAATAAATCCAATATGGAATTCAAGAGAAATTTCTTCCCCCACAGAGTGTTGGTATGTCTACTGAATAGTAAAGATGCCTTTAAGGGATAATGAAATAAATACATGAGAGAGAAGGTATAGAATCAAATACTGAAAGGGAAATAGAACATGGGAACACAGGACTTCGTAACAGGAGTGGGGCTGCTCCACCATTGAATAAAATCATAGCAATTTGGCAAGGTTCGCTCTCAGACAGTTGCCTGTGGGACACATCCGTTCACTCCATTTTATTTTTGTCACACATAAGTCATCTGTTTAAATATTATGTGACAGGATAGTGTTAAATCATTGGAGCAATTAGCTAGGCGTTCCTTGCATAACTCCTTGAGGGATTTCTCTGACCTGCACTACCTCAAAATTTAGCAATTTCCATAAATCTCAGTGTTGTCACAGTGCAAGGTGAAGGATGAAGTATCAATTTCCATCTTGTCTTTTGAAACAGCAACATTTTTTTTTTGGGTATCTGTTTTTTTGGGTATCTTCTCACTGTGTAGGGTCTCTGAAACAAGAAAACAAAGGAGACAGCTTTCTCCAATGTATAAGAGAAAAGCAGAGATGGGACAACCTGCACTTCTCCCCTCTTCTCCTGTCTGAAAGGAAGTGGCAAGCTTCCACTCTAACTGTAATTGTTTTGAGTTGTTGCAATTTTGCTGAGCGCTCTGTTCAACATACGAGTGAAGTAAAACTTCAGTGCATTATTGTGTAAGACCATAAGACTATAAGACATAGGAGCAGAAATTAGGCCATTCAGCCCATCGAGTCTGCTCCGCCATTCAATCATGGCTGATAAGTTCCTCAACCCCATTCTCCCACTTTCTCCCCGTAACCCTTGATCCCCTTGATAATCAAGAACCTATTTATCTCAGTCTTAAATGTACTCAATGACCTGGCCTCCACAGCCTTCTGTGGCAGTGAATTCCATAGATTCACCACTCTCTGGCTGAAGAAGTTTCTCCTTATCTCCGTTCTAATAGGTCTTCCCTTTCCTCTCAGACTGTGCCCTTGGGTCCTTGTCTCTCCTACAAATGAAAACATCTTTCCAACATCCACTCTATCCACGCCATTCAGTATTCTGTAAGTTTCAATTAGATCTCCCCTCATCTTTCTAAACTCCAATGAGTATAGTCCCAGAGTCCTCAAACATTTCTCATATGTTAAGCTTTTCATTCCTGGGACCACTCTCGTGAACCTCCTCTGAACCCACTCCAGGGCCAGTACATCTTTCCTGAGATATGGGGTCCAAAACTGCACACAATACTCCAAATGTGGCCTGACCAGAGCCTTATAAAGCCTCAGTAGTACATCCCTGCTTTATATTCAAGTCTTGTCAAAATAAATGCCAACATTACATTTGCCTTCCTGACTACTGAGTCAACCTGCAAGTTTACCTTGAGAGAATCCTGGACTAGAACTCCCAAGTCTCCTTGCACTTCAGACTTCTGAATTTTCTCCTCATTTAGAAAATAGTCCATGCTTTTATTCTTCTTACCAAAGTGCATGACTTCACACTTTCCCACGTTGTACTCCATCTGCCACTTCTTTGCCCACTCTCCTAACCTGTCCAAATCCTTCTGCAGCCTCCCCACCTCCTCAATACTACCTGTCCCTCTACTATCTTTGTATAGTCTGAAAACTTAGCCAGAATGCCCACAGTTCCTTCATCCAAGTTATTAATTTTTTTTTCATCTTAATCCTGTTAATGACTGTTGAATATATAAATTTTACATCAGTGTTACCAGTCCTCTAAAAATGGTTTTCTGCAGAATTACTTTGATTGGGAGCGGGAAAATTTAATGCAGTGGTCTAAGAATAGATTCTATGTTTCATTTCAGTCTAGACTGATGAAACAACAGTTTCCTTTTAATCGTCCCAAACCTACTAAATGACTTCTGGTATTGAGAAATCAAAGTGATCAATCAAAGCCAATAGGACAAGGCTAAAGAGAGAAGATGGATGTAAACCAAAAAGTTTGGGTTTTAAAGGATTATAGAAACAGGGGAAGATTGAATGAAGTAAAGAGTTCCAAGTTTTGTGACTAATGGGCAAAAATTGAGTGGACTAGAATCAATTAGGAGAATTTTTTCCAGCTTGCATGAGGTGGGAAGTAATTTGAATATTAAGGGTAATTTTACCAGGTCTTTACTTGGCAAACCCCTTCCCCCTGCTGGTTGGGGAATCTGTAGGCTAAATTGAGGTAGCCTTCTAGCAGCAACCTGAGAGATGGGGTATAATGTTTCTTTGGAGCAAAAAGGAGGGTCATGGGCAGGAAGGCAATCCCTGCAGCCTCAGCATTTTCCTCTGAGGGGTTTCTCCATCATTAGCAACAATTTTATTATTTTGTTTAATTACCTTTGGCCTATCGTCTACCAGCTTCAGGGCCCTTCCATCTTCAGTGACCACTGTTTCTGATGGCACTGATGAGAATTCTGAGCTGTCAGCCAAATAGATTGGCTAGCAGCTCAAGGTGGGATTTCCGCTGAGGTGAGGGGAGAAAGTCCAGTCTTTAATCAGTTAATGCTTCACGGACTGTTAAATGGCTGTGGGACTGCTGTCATCAGGGACGATGAATTCTCCATTGACTTTTCCGCTGGTGGAGCAGGAAATTGTGCAGTTTGAAAAATTATGCCCATAGAATCTTACAGGACAGAAGAAGGCCATTTTGATCTTTAGTACCCGTTAGCTCTTTGAAACAGCTATCCAATTAGTTCCATTCCTTTGTTCTTTTAACACTGCCATGTAATTTTCTCTCCATGTAGTTTTCCAGTTTTGTTTTGAAAGTTACTACTCAATCTGCAATGCAATGAATTTCAACCAGGTTCACAAAGGCAAGATTTGAAGACAACTTACAGTTCCATTTTTATCACAAACATGCAACTGCACAAAACAGAATCACCCAAAGTATAGGATCATGGAAGAATTTATCTTTAATGGAATCCATTCAAAACTAATATTTTGCTAGTTGACAGTACTCTTCAAATTGAATTTTGTTACTAGATTCATGAAAAGTTTGTAAAATTATAAGCATTCTTCTTTCATCTGCTGTCTCCAATTTTTAATGACCTGGTCCAATCTTCCTTTTCTACTACATTTTTCAATGGTCATTACTGCTTTGGATTTTCTACTCTTGCTACTACTAGTCTCTAAGTATATCGTTCAAGACATTCTTTCTCTTTTCTACATCAAACCTATGGTGATGACCAATTGTGATGTAACAAATGTTTTGGTAAGCTTTTATTTAACAGCAACTATGAATGGATTGTGGATGGACAGGAGATGGATTGGACTTTTTCATATGGAGTGGACTGCCTTACTTTGGGACCAGAGATATGAACCATTCTATGGATGGGTTGTCATTTATGGGACCAAGTTTTGGGCCATCATTTTACAGAAGCTCTGGATGGTCACCCTTTATAGGAGCTATTGGTAACACCTTTTCTGGGACCTATTAGTGGACTATACTTTACATAATCCTTCCTCGTCTCTCTGCTTACTTTTGACTACATTCCTCACAGATTGCATACCAAAACTTGGCAGTTATTCAATGACCTGATTGCTGTAAGTGCTCACATCACATGATTATGGTGTTTGCTTGGTTTAATGGTTTGTCATTGATTAAACCTGTTTGTAACATAACTGGAAATTGGAATGCTGTCTGAGGCAAATGCAACTTTATAAAGTACGGCTGAATGTAGCCAAGTGTTTCATTTTTTCTGATTACCTTTGAATCCAGAGATCACCATAATTTGTACTTTAATATGGAGAATAGTGTGATTTAGGAATGTATTGAACCTAGTTATTTCTGAAATAAGTTGATCTGTGTTACAGAGAGGGCCACAGCAAGATGCCAAGAAGACAGAGCCCAAGCACTAGCACAAACAAGGAAAGCAACAGACTCCATTATTGTACCAGAATGCAATGAGGATGGCTCCTTTGCACAGGTACTGTTAGGAATCAATGTTAATCACTCAGTGTTGAAATTGTGCAGAGATAACACATTAGAAATGGCACTAGCTTATATCTTCTGAACAACTGAAGTGAACTAATTGTGAATAAACTGAAATTATTTCAGGAATTTTTAACATAATTTTATTCTGTAGTTATTGACAAGCTGTTAGAAAAAGAATTCATTGCAATGCTCAGTGGGCTGATACTCATGAGTGGAATCCAACCAAGTTATTGTTCACTCATCCTTTGAATCAATTTGGATCAGAAGCTCTCCAGTGATCATAGCAATAGACTCTGCTGCAAAATTGTCACATTGGTGTTCATGGCAAGTTGACATCTAATGAAGGATTTCAGCTTTGTGGATGACTGGAGAGGCTGTTTGCTTAGGACAGAGAAGGTAAAGGAAGATTTAGTAATGACATTCAAAAGTATCAAGAGTTTTAAAGGAGTACGTAGAGAAAATTATTGTCAAGGAAGAGTGTTTAATAATTAGGAGACAGATTTAAGATCACTAGTAAAAAAAGCAGGGCAGATTTGGAGGAAGAAGATGAGGTGAATTTTTGTTTCAAATAGCAAGTTGTTACAAGTTACTACATAGATAAGTAATGCTTACTGGAACAAATTATTCCAAAAGTAACAGCTCTGTAACTTGGACAAAGATACACATGCTGGCACCAAGCCAAGCATCTTTTGACTTGGTTCACAATTGGTGAATTGGACCAATTATTAGCATTTGGGAAAACAATTACTAAAGATGAATATTTCATGTTCCAGACATTTGTGAACTAGAAAAAGAACCTGCTTCCATTGTGTAAACAATTTCTTGTTTGCAGACTCAGATTTTGAAATAATGCAACCTTTTCTGAATGAGATTATATTTTTACAGCTTAAATAGTTTCATATTATTGCACTGGGCAAAATGGCACCTGTACAATCGGACATGTTTCAGTTGAGATATGGGACAGAGTTCCTTCAGGTTCATATGTTCATCTAAATAATTCTGAAATGTCTTGAGGGCTCCTGGCTTTTCCACCGTTTCAGGCAGTGAGTTTCAGATACTTCCAACCCTCTGGGTGAAAAGATTTTCCTCATATCCTCTCTAAACTCCTGCTCCTTATCTTAAAACTGTGCCCTCTGGCTACTGACCTCTCTACTAGAGGTATAAGTTTCTTCCTATCTATACTGTCTACACTCCTCAGAACTTTGCACATCTGAACCTGATTGTACCTCAGTCTTCTCTGCTCTAAGGAAAACAAACCCCAACCTATTTAGTCTCACTTCATAGCTGAATTGCTCCAATCCAGGCAACATGCTGGTGAATCTCTTCTGTGCCCTCCCTAGTGCAGTCACATCCAACCTATCGTATGGCAACTGGAAATGTACATTGAACTGTAGCTGTGGCTGAACTTCCTCTTGTATTCATGCCTTGACAGATAAAGGAAAGTATCCCATATGCCTTCTTAAATCGCCTTGTCTGTTTGCCCTGCTGCCTTCAAGGACATGCATATCAAGGTCCCTTTGATCCACTGTACTTCCTATGGTGTTCCATTTCTAGGGTATACTCTTCAACGTGTATTCCTTTGCCTTGTTAGTCCTCCCAAAATGCATCACCTCACATTTTTCAGGATTAAATTCTATTTGGCACTGTTCAGCCCATCCAACCAGTGGTCTAAGACTTTCCTCCTTGTTATGACAAGTGTCAAAGTAGAAAATAAAATTGAGAACCAAGGGGCATGTGCAAGGTTCAAAGAGGAGGTGAAAAGTACAATAGAGAAGCAAAGAGGAATTATGAGAGAAGATTGACAGTCAAGGGGAATGCCAAAGTCTTCTACAGGTGTACAGAGGTAAAAGGAGGAGTAGGGCTAATTTTCAGGGACCAAAATGGAGATTTACATGGAAGCAGGAGGTATAGCTGAGTTATTAAATGAAAACTTTGCATCTGTATCTACCAAGGAGGTAGATGCTGCCCAGGCCATGATGACAGTGGAGGAAACTCTGTCACTAAAGTGTTCAAAATTGAAAAAGAAATAGTGAGATAGACTTAAAGTTGACAAGGTGCCAAATGAGATGCATGCAAGAAAATTGAAGGAAGTAAGAGTGGAATTTGCAGGAGCACTGACCATAATCTTTCAGCATAGGCTCAGGGAAAGTGCCAGAAAACTGAAGAATTGCAAACCTTACTTCCTTTTTCAAAAAAGATTGTAGGGATAAACCCAGCAACTACTGTCCAGTCAATTTAACTTCAATGGTGTGAAGCTCCTGGAAACAATTATTGGGATAGAGTTAGGAGTCATGTGGAAAAAGGTGGGTTGATTAGGAAGAACCAGCATGGATTTTTAAAGGGGTTATTATATTAAACTAATTTCCTGGAGTTTTTTGAAGAGGTAACAGAACTGGTCAGTGAGGTCAGTGTTATTGATGTGGTGCACGTGGACTTCCATAACGCATTAGATATAGCACCACACTTGTGAGAAAAGGTACAGCTCATGGAATAAAACAAGCAATTGCAAGTTTGTACAAAGTTGGCTGAGTGATTGGAAACAAAGAGCAAGGTTCAATGGATATTTCTGGCCTGGAGAAAAGGATCCCTAGTGTTTTGCTAGTGCAATCCTTGTTTTTTCCTGATACATATTAATGGCCTAGATCTTGGTGTGTCAGAAACAAGTTCAAAGTTTGCAGATATTTTGAGACTGGGAACATTGTAAACTGAGAGGAGAACAGTGTAGAACTTTAAAAGGACATAGAGAGGGTGATGGAGTGTGAAGATAGGTGGCAGATGAGATTCAATTCAGAGAAGTGTGAGATGATGCATTTTGGTAGGAAGAACATACAATATTAGCAGACAATGTAAAGTAAGGGTGAAATTCTAAAAGGGGTACAGAAGCAGAGGGATGTGGGTGTATTTGTGCAGAAATCATCAAAGGTGGCCGGACAGACTGTAATAAAGTATACAGTATCCTAGAATTTATTAATGAGGCATAAAGTACAAGAGTAAAGAGGTGCTGATGAACTTATATAATACACTTGTTAGACCTCAGCTAGAGTATTGTGTATAGTTCTGGGCATCACCCCATAGGAAAGATGTGAATGCATTGGAAAGAGTGCAGAAGAGGTTTACAAGATTGGTTCCAGAATGAGAAACTTTAGTTATGAGGATAAATTGGAGAGGTTGAGACTGTTCTCTTTGGAAACAAGAAGGCTAAAAGGAGACCTGACAGAAGTTTTAAAATAATAAAAGGGCTGAATAGAGTAAATAGGGCGAAACTGTTTCCGCTTATAAAACAATCAAGAATGACAGGACACAGATTTTAAAGCTTATTCCAAGAGCAGCAAATGTAAGGTAATAAAAAACATTTTTAGACAATGAGTTGTTCAGGTCTGAAATACACTGTGCAAAGGTGTGATGGAAGCAGATTCAAATGAGACATTCAAGAGGGCATTAGATGATTATTTGATTAGAAACAATGTCAAGAATATGGGGAAAAGGCAAAAGAATAACACTAAGTCATAATGCTCATTTGTAGAGCCAATGCAGTCAAGATTGGCCAAATGGTCTCCTTCTGCCCCAGGACACTTCTGAGATTTTGTGACTCCGAAAGACCCAAGTCAAAAGGAATGTACTGGAACATTCCCCACTCGTTTGGGTAGATGCAATAAGGAGCTAGACACCTGCTTGAAGGGTAGCTCATTTACCATCTTAACCATCCACTCTTTCCACAGCACAACAGTTGCAGTATGTACCTTCTACAGGGTACAATGCAGCAACTTACCAAGGCTTCTTCAAATCTGCTGCCACTATCACTTAGGACAAAGGCAACAAGTGCACAAGATCATGGGAACAACAAGATTTCTAGTTCCCTTCCATGTCACAGAGCTGGTAAAATCTTGAGGCAAATTAGGCAGTCACCCAGGGAAAACGATTTTAGAGCAGCAAATCATGCTGGCTTTCTAAAAGAAAAATCAGACCTGAAGTCAACCTGAAATCCATGAAACTTGACATTAATCTCCCAGTGAATAAAAAAAGCATTCCAGGAGATTCTAGAGCGATATTTTAAACAATTCTGTCTGGTAATTACTAATCAGCAGTGAAGGAGAAAGAAACACCTACAGCTATCACCTTATGTCACTGCAGTTTGGTTACATTAGATTCAGTGTAGCACTGCCCAATCAAACTCAAACATCTTTAAACAAAGAAAAGAAAGTCAGGGGGAATCCGTTTGCCTTTGGAATGGAATTGGTGGGACTTGAATTTGCTTGAGTGAATGCGCACAAACAATAAGAAATAGTCCAAATGTGGTATGATCAAGCAGGAGTTCAGATCATTTCACTTTCGATCAGTCAAGTGATTTGTTCTTACAATTCTTGCGTTATTTGGAAGTCAAACAACAATTTTCCTTCTTGAATTGACTGAGACCTGCTGATAACTATGATAAGCTTCCTGGCTTTGTGTTTGTGCTAGACAGTATGGCAAGACAGCAGTAATATCAGCCTGGCATCTCTGACTAGGGATAAAAGTGCAAAAAGCCAAGGCAAAGTAATGTGAGGTGGGGATGCTGTGAGCATCCAGGTGGGCTTAGAGTCAGTGAGCGCTATGACAGCAAGTGAAGAGCTTGGAGATACAGCCTGGTCCAATCCATGCAGTGGACTGAACAAAGTGTCCTTGCTTCAGTATTACACTGATAGATGCCAGTGCAACCTGAGGTACAGAAATGAAGTTCAGAAGCATCCTGTAAGTGGATCGGTGATGTTCCATGGGGTTTCTTAGAGGCTGGCACATGCCAGATGCCAACGTCCATGGACGTGTGGTGCCCATGGATATACTCTTGAGATGTTATTCTCCGTGTGTTCAACATGGATGTCACTTGGAGCAAGTAAGGAGCTAAATCTGCCAGGTGCTTGATCTGGTTTCGTTGTCAAGTTTTCCTGACGCGAGCTTGTTTGGTGACTTTGGTAAGATGGGAGGTGTGTTGAGCTGTTAACAAGGCATTTAACAAGCAATTATCACTGTCAATTTGCAACTCACCTCTATACAATGAGAATCTGGCCATACCACTTGTGAAAAGTCCAAAAGATGGTACAAGTTGATTCTAACACCGAGACGGGCCTCACTACACGTGTCACTCAATTCTGCCACACAACTTGCCATAGCTCATGTTGCTCAGATCCTATAGGATTCCATCCTTGGTATCACTTAAATTATATTTAAATGTCCTGAACAATAGCAAACTGTGTGTGTTTGAAGGCAAAACTTGTATCACTTACCATCATGTGTGTGTGTACAGGTGCATGGTGGGAGATTTTGAAGCAGTAGGCTGAAGTCTTGTCTAGGGCAGCAAATACCAGCCCTGCGCAGTTGTCAAGATTATCACCATTCTCACTTGGAGATTTATTGTTCATTCTTACTGGATAAAAATACTGGAACTTCCTACCTTCTTTCATTGTGAGTGCAGCTACATTTTGGACATTCACAGTTCAAAATGACACACAACTTTCTGAAGTGCAATTAAAGATAAGCAAAAAAAGTGCCAGCCTTGTTTGCAAGCCAAATTTGGCAGAATCAATCAGAAAAAAATATACATTTGCAAGCTCCTAATCTACAATGAATGGAACAGTCATATTTCCGGTCTATGGTTCAGTTCTTATGAAAGGATAAAGGCAACAGATATTATCTGACATTCAGTTTTGTTTGAGCCAAAAGAAATGACTGACTGAAAACTGAATGCTGTGGCCGGATGAAAGTGATACTCTGTAATCAAACAATTACTTTGAGGACTAGAGTTAATTAAACCCTTAGTTGATGAGCTCATCCAATAGACCTGAGCTGATTGATTGCTCACAGAATTTTTGCAGTGACATAAGACTTGGAAATGTATAGTTTTGATTGACGATTTACTTACTGTCAGTTTCATTTCTTTAATTGAGAAGCCCAGGTGAAATACCAAAGCCAAGAGTGCAGAACAACTTCAAATTTGAAAACAATGAGGAAGTGGGCAGGTAAATCATGAAGTAATGAAAATGTGACCCCAAACTTGATGTGTATCATGTTGTAGATTAGGAGAGAACTGAATTTGTGCTATGTCATTTTGCAATCCTCAGAGTTCACCCTCCAACCCAGCTTTGTGTTCTAAATTGAATGAGTCCAGGAGCCTGTGTGGGTCAGTGAGGATAATGCTGATCAGGGAGTGAATGACTTTGGGAGCATATGTATGATGAGTGTGAACAGTGGTGATGGGAACATGAATGAAACTTGGTACAGAGGTTATCAGCAGCAGAGATTTTGATAATTGCAAGTTTGTGAGGGGTTGCATGTGGGACACCAGTCAGGTGTATGTTTAAGTAGTCTGGTGTAGAGGTAATGAAGGAATGGATCAGAATTCAGAAGCAGATGAGCTGAGGCAGAAGACGAGTTGAGTGATGTTACTTCGATGGAAACAGGCAGCCAGGTCATTTTGGGTCATTGATTATTTTGTGTTTTTGGCTTTTCTATAGTTGTAGGCTTTACTACCTGACATAGCCCTCCAAGTCTGACTTGGAAATATATCACTGTTGTATCAATGTTGCTCACTCAAAATTCTGGAACACCCTCCCTAACAGCACTTCAGGTGTTCCTAGACCAAATGGACTGCAGTGGTTCATGATGGCAGTGCACCACCACCTTCTCAAGGGCTTTTAGGGATGGGCTATTAATGCTGACCAGTCAGCAACACCCATGTTCCATGACTGTATAAAAAAAAGCAGATATTCTTGAGCAGCAAAAGATATCAGGGGAATCAGCAGGGTACCAAACTTATATGAAACAGTTCCGAAGTTTTTTCTCACTGAAGATTGTTAGCTCCATAACAAAATAACAGCTAATCTGAATCACTTGACTGAAGAATTCCAAGAGTTCATGACATTTCAATGCTCTATGTTCATGGGAATATACCAATTATTGGGCAAAAAAAAGCTCATGTTCAATTTGTTTGCATTATACAATGACAATGAAGCTGCTGAATAATCATTGCAATGATTTTTTTTTTTACTTACGTTTTCTGCAGACCCGAATTCTACATGAATTAAAAACCCTTAGTGGTTGAAAGCTTTGAGAACAATGAGTCCAAAGTTATTTGATCCTCTCAATTGCTATGCACTTACCACAAGTCACATCTTAGATTATTCAATGTAAATTTAAGAACTTCAGGTGCCAATTGAAAGACTGCCTTTTGAGTGAAACCAATACAAAACAAAAGATTTTCTTGATCTTACGTGCTTACTGTCACCTCTGGTAGTGTTTTTTAACCAACAATTTACAAGGACAGTCAAGAATCTTCATACAGTGAAAGCATACCAACATAAATGTGAAAAGGATTGCAAGAAAAGTCATCAAGCATATGAAACCTGCTGTGTCAGTGAATGTCGCAAACCACTCACTGCTCTCATGCTATAGAGAAGCAAAAAACTTGATTCTCAAATGCCCCACTTCTTGTATTAGCACTAAGTACAGTCCAGGAGGCTGTGGTTGTTCATGTCATCACAATCTTGATTGATTTACCATCAAACCCACTGAACTGGCAAAGGAACATAGAAACATGGAGTTAAATTTTCAGAATATGCCTGGAGCTTTTAGATGGGTGGGTGGGGTAATTTAATTAAGCAAGAGGCTAAAGTCCCGATGGCATGTTGATCTTTTGCTATTACTTTCTCATAAACTTTCACACAGGTTGGTTTGCAGATGTGTATGTTCTTCTGTTTGTGATGAAAAGTCAGTGAGCTAGTTGTGTGTTGCTGCTGATTGTTGTAGTCCTTTTTATGTTTTAAGTGTGAACCCTGGCCTGTGAATGAGAGGCAGTACAACTGTGGTACAAGCAATGTTATATTAGTAAGCTGCAAAGAAGTGACAGACATTTTTTGTACATGAAGCAACTGATGGAGATGCCTGATACCCAGTTTCCTGTGTGACAGTCCTCATCTGTGGCCACTTTACATTGTTAACTCACTCTCATTGGGGCATGAAGCATTGAGTATATACCTTGGCAGAGCACAAGAGATCATTTATCGTTTTGTGGCACTGAAGCCAGGTTGTCTTGAGCTGTCGACAAGTGCTGAACTCTGCAGCTACCTCTGTCCAGACTGCCTTCATCAGTCAGAATGGTCCCATGTTGCCAAGGGCAAAGGATTTCCTTTCCTCCTGGACAACCTTTAAGAGAACCTCTAGGGAAACATCATGAAAGTGTGGTGCCTTTTTTTTTTAGCTTGGGCTCTGATGTTTCCAGGTGTGTGTGGTGGTGATTAGCAGAGATTGAATGATGCCCTAGGAAGCAGAGAGTGAAGTGCTGACAAGCACTTTTAAATATGGTACCCAGTTCTAGGAACCCAGAGGTCCTGGCAAGGGCCAGAACTTCCTGCCTACCAGTCACCAAAGTTTTGGTGTTTTATTTACACATGAATATGTTATGAGCTTATAAGAATATATTTGCACAAGAAAACCTGCCTCAATCAACCCCCGAGTGGATGTACCTCCCACTATTCGGCCCATCCCAACAGTTACTCTCAAAGAAAAAGAAACTTCTACCCAAAGAACAGAGTCAATAGTTCAGCTGCTCAACCTTGTTTCTCCATTCAATCAAATCTTACTTGTTCAGTATCGCTTGAATGCTATGAATTAACCAACCTAAGAGCCCCTTCACATAAAGGGAAGGAAATGACATGGTCAGGGATTTTGGAAAAAATTTTTCAGAAATGTTAGCAAGGAGATGGTAAGTGAAAGCAACAAGGGGTAAAGGAATGGGAAACCATAGTGGAAAGTGTAATCTGAATGATCTGGATGGAGGGATTTGTTAGGAGCCAAGATTTTGGATTTAAAATTAGGATAAGTGCCTTGAGAGATGGGTGGTGTAATTTGGAGTCTGCATCACATATGAAAAAAACACCTACATATACACATGAAACACAGACACACGCACACAAAAATTAGATTTCGTAACAATTCCTTTTCTTTCTCTCTGCTTTAACAGGTGCAGTGCCATAAATTGACAGGCTATTGCTGGTGTGTCACACCTGATGGCAAACCAATCAGTGGATCTTCAGTCCACAACAGGACTCCAACCTGTTCAGGTATTAGACGCATAAAGGTATTTAACTTTGTGGCTAGGTAATTGTCAGTTGATCCTTTAAAGGCACAAAGAATTCTTAGAGCCAGAAGAAGGAAATCAAACAAGTAGACTTAGCTTTAGAAACTGGTACATGAGACACTCACTGAGGTTTGTAAAATGCTGGGATATATTTTGTGATCTACAAATTTTCAGTGCAATCAGGGATTTGGGTACTGAGGTATGCGTGCTTAATTTGCTGTTTGCCTTACATTCATTGTCATATTCTAACCATTGCGCTTTGTATAAAACAACAATAATTTCTTGAATTAGGATGGAAGCCAGTAATTTCCAGTACACTGCTTCTCACCTTGAGTTTGCCTGTGCAGAAATTTGAGAGGTGAGGAACCAAGCAGGTGTGTATCCAAAGAAATGTTCAACATACATAATAATTTACAACTTATTAAATCTGCTTTAATATAAACAGTTTCTGAGCAACAGCCCTAAAAGTCCAAATCAATCAGTAACTCAACATTGAAAACTTGTTCAACAATACCTTATGCAACACTAAAGGAGATTATCATTTTTAATAAAAATATAACAATGGAATTTTGTAATCATGTTGGAAGAAAAAACAAAAACTTGCATTTATTTAGCACGTCACACGGTCTCTGATCATCCCAAAGCAGAAGTAATTTTCAAGTGTATTTGTTGTATTGAGGGAAACTGGGGGACAGCTGGTTTGCATACAGTGCAGCATCAAAAACAAGTATTTGAAAATGACTCAATAATCCAAACTTATGGTGATGTTGACAAATGGTGATGAGTATGGCTAGGGTTCTGACTAAAGTTCCCATGCTCTTCTTTGAAGTAATGCTATGGTATATTTTACATATACCTGATGGGGCAGATGGAGTCTTACTTTAAAGTCTCATACTGCTTCTTACAGTGAAATATTTCTTTAATAGCATACTGGTATGTCAAGCCAGAGATTTTGCTCAAGTCTCTTGACTGGAGCTTGAGCATGTAGCCTTCTGAGTTCGGAGACAGAGAGAGAGAGAGGACTACCTATTAAGCTTGGGAAAGCTGAAGTTTTTGTTCACTGTGGAAAATGCACCTCTCTCCCAACCTTGACTAATGTTAGAGTATTGAAAAAAATGACCTACAGCTAATAGAAGGTCTTAGATAAGCGGTAAAGTGCCATTAAATATTTGTAGCTGCAGGATCTGTTAGCACCTATACCGCGTGTCCCTGGTTAGAAATTCATACCCAGGAGAATCACTGTATTTCTGCTTGTACATTGCACTCCTAACCAACTGGATGAAGTTCTCATTGGGTATTCAGTATCAATCAACTATTTAATGAGTCCCAACTCAAATCTTGGTACAAGTCACATTGGACTCTGGAGACATATATGCAAACCACTGAACGCTCTCCCTCCACACCAAGTTTCCACACTGTAGGGATTCTATGATTCTATGAAGCAGGTAGTTGTTATATTCAAAATATAATATGTCTTGATTTCTGTTTGACAGGAGTAACATAATATCTGCAATTTGAATGACAATCTCGCTCTCAAACCAGGCAATTCTTTTGTGTCATGGAGATGCCACGTGAGAAAAGTCACTATAATAGCTCTTTTCAGAGAGCCCATTACAGTCCAGGTACTCGCAATGCAGTGAACAGTGAAATATAGATAATTTAGAAATAATTTATCCCAAAGTTTTCCTTTCCAGATTCCACTAAGGACAAAACATCCCAGCGGGGGCGTGACTCTAGCAGGATGGGTAAGTTAAAAACTTTCAGCCATTTTGCATGATATTGCTAAGCTCTGTACTGCCCCCTTGACTGCTTTTGAGCTATTGTGTAATACGGTCTACTGTCCTTGTATCTCTGGTCTCTTGATTCTAATTGAGTCCAAAATGGTGAGAGGAAACTCTCTTCCCTCTGTGGCTGTTTTGGCCCAATGAAAATGAAGCGTGCAGTCCCTATATAACTCCTAAGGTGCCTGATGCACAGCACAAAACTGTCCAAAATGTCGGAGCTTCAGAGGGGAAGTGAAAAAGAGGATCAAAGAGTAAGATAAAAAGCGCCAGCCGATTTAAAAGGGTATCCCAAAGTCTTCTTCAATTATATAAATAAAGGTAGTAAAAGGAGGAGTGGGACCAGTTAGGGACCAAAATTGTATTACCACCAAGACAGGGACCAACCTTGGATCAATGAAGAATCTAGGAGGGCATGCTAGGAACAGCACTAGGCATAATTAAAAGTGAGGTGTCAACCTGGTGAAGCTACAAAATCAGACAACTTGTGTGCCAAATGGCATATTAGTAAGTTATTGAGCTAAGCTCTGCAGTCCTGCCAGATCTAATTACAAATGGTGGTGGACAATTAAACTGACTGGAGGTGAAGGCTCCACAAATGTTCCCATCCTCAATAAGGGGGATCCCAATACATCAGTGCAGAAGATAAGGCTGAAGCACTTGTGATAATCTTCAGCCAGAAGTGCTGCATGGACATCTACCTTGGCATCCTCTAGAGATCCCCAGCATTAGAAATGCCAGTCTTCGGCCAATTTGATTCACTCCACGTGATCTCAAAAAATGGCTGAATGTACAAGGTACTGTAAAAGCTATGAGCCCTGTCAAAATTCAGACAACAGTACTGGAGACTTGTGCTCCAGACTTGTACTCAGGCCAATTACCACCCTATCAGCCCACTCACAGTCATCAGTAAAGTGATGGAAAAAAATCATCAATAGTGCTAAGCAGCACTTTCCTAGCAATAACCTGCTTACTGATTCTCCATTTCAGTGCCGCTCAGCTCCAGACTTCATTGGAACCTTGGTCCAAAATGAACAAAATAGCTGAGAGGTGAGGTGAGAGTGAAATCAACACAGTATTTTACTGAGTATGGCATCATCAACAAGCCCTAGAAAAATTAGAACCAATGAGAATCAGGGGCAAGCTTTCCGCTGGTTGAAGTCATCCCTAGCTAAGAAAGATGGTTGTGATTGTAGATCAGTCATCTCAGTTCCAGGACATCACTGCAGGCGTTCCTCAGGTTAGTTCCCTGGCCCAATCATCCTCAGCTGCTTGGCCTACCCTCCATCATAAGGTCAGTAGTGGGGATATTTGCTGATGATTATGCATGTTTAGCATCATTTATGACTCTTCAGATACTGAAGCAGTCTATATCCAAATTCAACAAGACTCGGGTAATATCCAGGCATTGGCAAATAAAAGTTTTGCCACTTAAGTGCCAGGCAACGACCATCTCCAACAAAAGAGAATCTAAGCATTGCCCCTTGAGATTCAATGGCATTAACACATTTGAATCCCCTACTACAAACATCCTGGGATCATAGTTGACTAGAAATTGAATTGAACTAGCCATATAAATACTGTGACCACAAGGACAGGTCAGAGGCTAGGAATCCTGCAGCTTCTAGAAACCTTATTCAAGGACAAAAAGATAGTAACTGGGATGAATGCAAGTTAGGTCAGGAAAGCTAGCATGGATTTCTTAAGAGTAAATTCTGTTTAACTTACTTACTGAAGTATTTTTATTGAAGAGATATTGCAGAAGGTTGATAAGGATAATGCCATTGATGTGGTGTACATGGACTTCCAAACTACATTTGGTACATTGTTGCACAATAAACAAGTGAGAAAAGTTATAGTTCATGGAATAAAAGGGTCAGTAGCAACATGCATTGAAGTTGGCTGAGTGACAGGAAACAGAGTATAGGTTAATCAAAAAAAAGACAAAGAACTGCAAATGCTAGAAATCTGAAACAAAAACAGAAATTGTTGGAAACATTCAGTGGGTCTGGCAGCATCTGTGGAGAGGAAGAAGAGTCAACATTTTGGTTTCAGTGATCATTCAGAATGTTCAGAAAGTGCAGTTCTGAAGTAGGGTTTCAGGACCTGAAACGTTGACTCTGCTTTCTCTCCCCAGATGCTGCCAGACCTGCTGAATTTCTCCAGTAATTTCTGTTCTTGTAATGGTTGATGGATGTTCTTCAGACTGAAGGTTTGCAGTGAAGTTCTCCAGGGGTTAATGTTGGGTTGCTTGCTCTTCCTGATTTATGTTTATGACCTAGACCTTGACGTACAGGTTACAATTTCAAAAATGTGGACGATATGAAATTTGGAAGCATTATGAACTTTGAGGAGGATAGTGTAGAATATCTGAAGGACATGGACATGTCAGCTAAGTGGACAAGTTACAGGTGAAATTCAATGCAAGGTGATTGATTTTGATTGAAGGAACATTGAAAGCTCCCATAAAGGGATACAGGAGTAGAGGGGTCTTAGTATATGGCAGCTTTGTTATTGAGGTAGCAGGACAGGTGGAGAGCAGTAATAATGCTTACAATATCCCAGGCTTAATTAAAGGGGCATAGAACACTACAGCAAGGAAGTTATGCTATACTTGCACATAACACTGCTTTTACCTCCATTGGAGCTTTGCGTTCAGTTCTCAGTGCCACAGTTTAGAAGATATGCGAAAGCTGTAGAGACAGTGCAAAAAAGATTCACAAGAAAGGTTCCAGGGATGCTGAACTTCAGTTGTGTAGATAGATTGGATAGATTAGGACTGGTTTCTATGAAGATGAGAAAGTTCAGAGGAAATTTTAGATGTTCAAAATTCAGGAGTTTGGACAGGATAGAAAGGAAAAATTGTTCCTCCTAGTGAAATGGCTGAAAATGAAAGGGCTCAGATTTAAGGTAACTGCCAAAAGAAGCAAAGAGGACATGAGGAAAAACCTTTACATCCAGCAAGTGGTTAAGATCTGGAATTTGCTGCCTAAGTGTGTTCACCAGTTGAGGTGTTCAATTGAGGCACTCAAAGAAAATTTAGATTGTTATCTGAAAAGGAAGAATGTGTGGCTTATGGGGAGAAGGTGGATACTAAATAATTTGCTAGTTTGACAACTAGCATGGACATTATGGATCAAATGGCCTCCTTCTGTGTTGTAACAATTCTGTGTTTCTGTGGCACTAATTAAAGGAGTCACATTAATGCTGGTATGGGAAAAGTTTGCAAGTGCAACAAAAGGGCTCTGGCGTTGTGTCTAAGGCACAGTATTAGAGTCACATAACTCATAACCATAACTCTAACATGCCTGAGCAATTGATACTGAGACTAGGATGTTATAGAGAAATAGAGTCATAGAGACATATAACATGGAAACAGATCCTTCAGTCCAATTAGTCCCACTTGCCTTTGTTTGGCCCATATCTCTCCAACCTTTCCTAATCATGTATTTATCCAAAGGTCTTTTAAATATTGTAATTGTGCCTGCATCCACCACTTCCTCTGGCAGTTCATTCCAGACATGAACCACACTTTGTGTAAAAAAAAAAGTTGCCCCTCATCTGAAATAGAAAAGTATTTGACTCCAACAGTAATGTTCTTCACCTTATAAAAACTGAAAGAACTGCGGATGCTGTAAATTGGGACCAAAAACAAATTTGCTGGAAAAGCTCAGCAGGTCTGGCAGCTTCTGAGGAAGGGTCACCAGACTCGAAACGTTAACTCTGTTTTTTTCTTCACAGATGCTGCCAGACATTCTGAGCTTTTCCAGCAAATTTGTTTATGTTCTTCACCTTGATGGGCTCAAGAAACTGAATGGAAAATAATTAACAGCAAGTTTTAAAATAATTTGTTAGTTACAAGCTGAATACATTTACAGTGGGTATGAAGAGATTCTTAATGGTAAAAAATAAAGCTTACAGTTTAAACACAGTTATGTAATCTGAATTTCCAATAGAGTAATAGTTTTCAGATTTATAGATTTTCATTAAAACATCACTGGCAAATTCAGTACCACCACAATAATAAATTATGAAACTCTCTACCTAAACCCTTCCATCTTTGACTCTCTCTTGAAAACAGCCTCCCAATGCCCAATCCTGTAACTACTCTCAGTCATTAATACCAACAAATATTATTTAAGGTGCAATGTTGACTTCTTTAGGTACATGGCACCTTTTAAATTTTATCATGCCTCTGAGATCGCTGCTTTCCTCCAAATCTGTTTGCCTGATTTTCATTGTTCCACCACCAGCAGTCAAGGCTTTGGCTGACTAAACCCAAACCTCTCCAGCTTTTATCCTTATAAGATATTCTGTTAAACTTACTTTTTGGATGAAGTTTTTGGCACCAATCCTCATAGCTGCTTGTGTGGCTTGGTGTCAGGCTTTGCCAGTAAGTGCTGCTGATAATCTTCTTTCTACTATGTTAAAGGCACTGTATAAATGCAAGTTGTTGTGAAAGCCATAAGCAGCTGTGGAATGAATTAGCTTAAAAGTGCTGTATGGGCTCAACAGTGTGACATACTTGAATTGCTGCACTACATTTTTGAGGTATTTTGTATTAGAAGGGTGCAAAGAGGTTTCTAGTAAGTGGTGCTTCAGGAGAGGAGGGAGAAATAGATGATAATGTTTGAGTTGTGGCATCAAACCAGAACTATACAAGCCCTTTCCATTTTATCTTTAAAGACTACTCTATCTTTTTGGCCATTTATCCAAGAGCACAAGTAGAATAGATAATACTAACGTCAATAATAGTGTCTTTTCGATTATTTTCTTCTCTAATCCCAGAACAAGGAATAAAGCTTCGGCCCACCACAAGGACTCTGATTCGCAACACAGGTAAAGGTACGCAGACTTATGACTTTGCTTCTTGGTAGATGAGACAGTCTTGTAATAATGCATATCATAAACCTGAAGAACAAAATAATGATTTTGTTTGAGAGATCTCTCAAAGATAACTGTATGTTGCATAATAGTGCAATTTGTGCTATTTAGTTATGTGTTTGTGAACAAACGATTAAACTTTTGTTGCATACTTTTTCACATAGATGGCTCCCCTTTTTGAAAGATTAACGGAAAACATGTATTTATATCTCATTTTTTTATGTCCTCAGGATATTCAAAAGTAGTTGACAGCCAATGAAGTACTTTTGAAGTGAACAAATTGTTGTACTTTAGGTAACTGAATGGCCAAATTGCACACTGCAAAATCCCATAGACAGAATTTAGCACTTTGAAAAAGACAATATTTACTAAATTCAGTGAGAGAAAGTTTCAAAAAGGAAATGAACAGATTTTCTAAATGGAGATAGTAAGGTGAAGTGCAGCTTTATATTACAATGTGAGTTATTGAATGCACTCTAGAATGGCTCGCTTAAATCCTATTAGGAGCTTTATGTAATAGTACATAATGGCATTTTGAACAGTCAGTATGTCCTAAGCCATTTTTTTGTCCATTAACCTTTGATAAGGATGCTCGCAGAAAGAAGGGGCACATATACGTAACATCAAACCTCATGACTCTAGACATTTAAGTCATATATTGATACCAAAGACTTTTTATTCAAAATGGATGGATTTAGGAATCTGTCATTATTATAAATAAATATATTTTTAAAATTTCACCTCGTTTCTTAGGTCTTGCAACTCTACCATAACCGTCCATAGCTCTAGACTGTGACATGCATACAAAAGTTAAATACAAACTTCCAGAATGATCTGTAACTTGTCAGGCCAACTTAGTCTTATGATATTACAAAAGTCAATGAATTACTTTTTGAAGTGCAGTCTGTAAAACTTGCAAGCAAATGTAGTAGCCATTTGTGAGCAGAATCTCATAAATATCAAATTAATATTGACTAAATAATCTGTCTTCAATAATGATAAAATCAATATTGGCTAGGAGACCAGGGAGTGCCCTTTGCTTCATTGTTTTTATGCCATGAAATCTTTTAAAATCTTGGTTTGATGTTTTATCTGAAACTGCTGATTTATTCTCCATCAGTTTTCTAGCAAATATTTATACCTTCACCAATGGATTACATGATTATTAATTAATCATTATTTCTGGAATCTTACATACAAATTGCCTGTTCTATTTCCTATATTCGATTAGTGATAATTCAAAAAGGTACATAATTGGAATTTAGTGCTTTATCAACCTGTGGTCAAGTAAGATACTATACAAATGCAAATAATTCTGTTCTTTCTATTGTATTACAGCTGAAAGTAATCCTGTCCTTTCACAATCTCCACAGATGAGTATTTCCCTGTAAGGGATCACTATCTAGTGACTGGGATCAGGAATTGCCTAACTATTATTTTAACTCCTTCTTAACAGAGTCACTGAGACCTGTTGTAGTATTCCAAATAACAGTCCAGCATTGATCCGCAAGGAAAGGAAAAGGACCAAGATTGGAAATTTGTTTTCCCCATACATCTCAAAAGCAGATAATTTAAGTTACTGCACCAGACATGACATCCTTTTAAACATTTGCCTACATTACTTGCTGACACCCTAAAACCACATTGTTTGGTTTTCAGTTTATGGCTGTTTCAATCAAGTTTTTGTTTTCTTCTCTTCTCCTCTTGCCCCTTTTGAGATCCTCCCATGGCATCCAGCATCACCAGCACAAGGTCAGTTATTCGGTTCCAGGTCTCGATCCATTAGCAGGTGTTTCTGGGGTAATGCTCACTCTGACCGTCTGTGCCCTTTTGGTGGAGTGTGGCCAATCTCTGGTTGCTAGCTTTTTTCGGCTGTATGGTGTTTCTAACACACTCCACAAGAAAGCGAGTGAAGGAATGAAAAAGTGAACTCCAGGAAGCTGAGTCGGTCAACCAAGTCTCACCCTCCATATCAAGCAACTTCAGGATCTTCTCCCATCTTTTCAATACAACTGCAGACGAATCCTGCCTTATGTGCATAATATAGGTTTCATCATCGAGTTTTGGCCCACAAATTAACTGAAAGGTTAGTTAGATCATGAGACAGGATTTTTGTAACTCGTGTAACTGAGTTGACGTGCACCCAACCACAATCAACCCAGAGGTGTCAATGAGCTAATTTTTAAAAAAAACCTTCTTTTGATTAGCTTTTCCTCTTGCAGGTGAAGCATTGGATCATCGCAAGCAGAGGCCTGTTGAGGACAGACATAAAGATGCACTGCTAATCTCCAAAAATCCAGGTGAGGTTTCTGTGATTCCTGTACTCACCCAGAATGAAAGTAGGCATTCAAATAGAAAGTCGTCATTTTCAAGGTGTGAGTGTCACTGGCAAAGTGCTGTCCATTTTTTTGTTGCTCATAAGCACTTCAGTGCTACTGAATGTCTTGTTAAGCAACTTATGAGCGCAGTGAAATGTTAGTCACCATTGGTATGGATCAGATAAATCAGGAACAGGTCAGAACAATTGATTTCCTTTCCTACAGATGATTCAGGAACCAGTTTGGTTTTGGTAACAAAAATGCCATGTACCTTTTTTTACTGATTCCAGTTATGTATTTCCATTTTGAACTGAACTCAATTATTTTATGGTGGGATCTGAATTTGCATTTTACCTGGATTAGTAGTGCAGAAATCTGAATTACTTAGTGCAATTGCATAACTACTGTACCCAAGTTTGGGCTGGTGACTCTTAGCTTCAGATCAAATAGATGTGGCAAAGTAGATTTGAAGATAAACATGTCTCTCTGGCAGGCATAGGAGATGCTGTTGCAAAGATAGTATTGTTACCTACTGTGGAAACTTGGGAGGAATTTTCCCCTCTCTTGTATCGTGTGAGTAATGATGTGACATTGGGGCTGGGGGTGTGGAGGTGAGAATGAAACAAGTATGAATCTTAATGTTGAGAAAAACTCCTGATTTTTCTCAAGCCACAAATCATGACTTCAGAATCTCATAATAGAGCTGTTACTATCTCTACTTCTATGCATTTGCATCTCATTAAAGCCCCAATTCACAGTTTTGATGTGTCACTTCCAATTCTCTTCTCCTCGACTAAGAAACTAGACAGCACAAATTCTTGACTTGAAAATTAGAGCAGATACTTGGCTGAACACTTGTCCTGGCCCTTGCAGAACTGCTTCTTCAGATGTCCCTGAATGTTTCATGGCTACCATCCTTCGTGACTCTTCATCCACACAGTTTAGCATCAGCAAACTACCAGTACTTCAGCCTTTCGACGCTTTACTTTGTTACACATGGATGCATAACTTGAATGTTTCTGCCACGTTACCATACATGCAGGGATACACATGCATTGACTCAGGATGCTTTTGAGCTTAACTAGACACATGCATCTTATGACTCTTTTGTTTGTCTTCATAGCACTCACTCATTCACTGCTAATGAAATAGTTATTGGAGCCAAAGGGGCAGCAATGGAAAGGAAAATGGGAACATGAAGAAACAGTGGAAATTCATGCATCACAGGTGGAACCTGCAAAATACTTACACTGAAACTAAATTAGAACCTTGACATGTTGGATCAAAAGTCAACTGTGCAATAACTTAAATTAGTGGTTGCCACCGCCTGCAAACATATCTACTTTCATGATGTCCGTGTTTTAATTAACCTATTCCTGCATTTGGTCTGAAAATCTTGAGCATCTGAATTTCCAACAAAGGCTCTCAGTAAGTGAGGCTCTTTGTTCGATGCAAATCAGAAAGTTACCATACTGAGTTCATGGGGAAAAACACACATCATGCATATATCTGAGAGATAAATATTGGAAAAGGAAATAAATACAAAGGTGAAAAGAAAATTAAAGCATAGAAACATCATATTTTCCCCCTCCAGTTTTCTCCTCTCTTGAAGTTGTTGTCTAATGATGGAATGCAGCTGTATGGATATGCCTATGCCACCTCCATTAGAAATTCTTTCTGCATAAGCATTGACATAAGGAATTTACTATTCATCTGATTTTAATCCATTGGAGTTTTTGTTAGTCATTGACCATTGGAGAACAATGAGGAATGGTAGTCTATTTCCTTCTTGCTTCTTTTCCTCTCCTTGAACGAGGGGTACTAAAGCCAATTGTTTCATCCCCAGATGGAACAATTTGTTAAGCAAAGACTGGGGATTGAACCTGGGATTGTTCTAGTTGTGTAGAGCTCGATAAAATATTGGATAATAATAATAAGCAATATAGATGCTTTATCCTGTTTCAATATTTTCTTTCTTCAGAACTGACGTATCCAGCCCTATGGTTTCTATTCACTAGAGATGCCAAATCAAACCGCAGTGCCAAGCTAGGTAGGTGAGGCCAATGATTGCCAACTGTTCCTTCTGATGACAGAGTGTTGTATATCCAACCATTTAAAATAAGTAATACAAGCCAAGGTACCTCTCAAATAAGGGGATTGGAGGGAGGGAGGTAGGGAACATTTGAATTTAGCAGGAATCAGAGGAGACAACTGAGGCATGTCATAATAAATAGCATTTGAAAGAAAGCTTGCACTTATGGATTTTGCATCCATCAACACTCATAAATTTCTCAAAGCAATTCACATACAAGTTATTAGGGTTATGCAAATAGCTAGCATTTCAAGCGTAATAATATACCGGAAATAATGGTAATTTAATCAGTTTTTACTCTTCTGTTTCTACTTTCCTGTAGCTGGCTGGGAGGTATTAATGACACTGAGAGGTTGATTTTAAAATTCTTATCCTTGTTTTCAAATCTCTCCATTTAGGTGAAGGGATTTGATGAAAGCTCTCATCTCTCCCTATCTTTAATCTCCACCAACCTAACAACTCTTTGATTCCTGAAATGGTAGGACTCATGTATGAAAAGAGACTGGATCAGTTGGGACTATATTCACTGGAGTTTAGAAAATGAGGGAGATCCTATAAAAACCTTTAAAATTCTAACAGGATCAGACAATGTAAGTGCAAGAAGGATGTTGTCAATGATCAGGGAGTCCAGAACCAGGCGTCACAGTTTAAGAATGCAGGGTTAGGGTTAGGCCATTTAGGACTGAGATGAAGAGAAATGTCTTCACCCAGAGAGAGGTGAGCCTGTGGAAATCTCTGCCAAAGAAAATAGTTGAGACCAAAGCATTCAATGTTTTCAGGAAGGAGTTAGTTATACTTCTTAGGGCTAAAGGGATCAAAGGATATTGGAGAAAGCAGGAACAGATTACAAAGTTGGATGATCAACCATGATCACGTTGAGTGGCACAGCAGGCTTGAATAGCCAAGTAGCCTACTCTTTCTCCTATTTTCTATGTTTTTATCTACGCTCCTTCAATTCTGTTTATCATGTGTCACCAAATTTAATTGTTTCACCATTGGCAGACATGCCTTCAGCTGCCTACTCTCCAAGCTCTGAAATGTCCTTCCTAAACATCTCCACCTCCCTAATTCACTTTCCTCCTTTAAGATGGGCCTTAAAACCTTTGCTTTTGACCAAGCTTTTGCACCTCTAACCTATTATCTCCTTATATGGCTCAGCATCGTACTTTGTTGTACAATGCTCTGCAAAACACCTTGGAATCTTTCAATAAGTATGCTATATAAATGTAAGGGGTCATTGCTGAAAGCTTGATTATTTACTTCTAATTACTGTGTCCCAAGATCTAATTGCACATGCTTCCCCTTTTCCCAGTCCCTCATCATCTGATTGTGTTATGAAACAAGAACTGAAACAGAAATCAGTCAATACATCCACTCAAATATTCTTTAGTTTTATTTCTCTTGGAAGCATTCTGAAAATACAGTCTGTGACATACTATATAATAAATTCGCCTGTTGATACCTAAATGCTTATGGTCCACTGATGCTTGGATGAGTTCCTGGAGGACAAGAATACCTCTGCATGAGTAATGGGTGGGGTGAGAAAGGTGAAGAGAAATAGAGAACACAACAAAACCAAGGTTTTTAATGGTGGCTTAAAGTGTCATTTTGAATTGTGTAAGTTTTCTTCCATCATTAGACCAGCCCGTGTCGTGTGACCAGGAACGTCGATCTGCCATTGAAGAAGCAAAACAGCATCAGTACGAGGGAGCCTTTGTTCCACAGTGCAGCTCAAATGGACTGTACAAACAGGTGCAGTGCCATCAAGCTACTGGATACTGTTGGTGTGTTCGAGTTGACTCAGGACATCCAATCCAAGGCACAACTGCACGGTGAGCACTTCAACAGATAAACAGGACTAGGACGAACTTCAAATGGCAGTTATCATATTGAGACTGGCAATGTGTCAAGGATTTTTTTTAAAAATGAGGCAGTATGAATACAACATAAAAGGAAGAGATCAAGTTGTACACCTAACCTGTTCTTCCTTGTGGTTGGTTGAAGATCAAATTTTTGTAGAAGCTTATTCTCTCTTTTAAATCAGGACTCTATCTGAGTTGAGGGGAAAAGTTGCAAAACTAAAAATCTGAGAATAAACTTTTGTAAGTATTGAAATCCATAAATTGTCTCTATTTTATAATTCTAATTCCAGGAGAATGAATTATTTATTTGAAATTCAAGCTCTCATCCAAGTGAAAAGGTGCACCTACCTCCATTGCAGGCTTCAGGTGCAATACCTAGTGAGTTTACAGTTTGCTCCTTTTAAAAATCTCCCCAAGACGTACTTTATTGGTGTCATATCCTAATTGTCTCATTATGTGGTTCAGTGTCAGATTTTATCATTGCATTCCCATGAAGCAACTTGATGTTTAACTACAGCATGAGCAACATTGTATAAGTTGTTCCTATTAAGGTCACATACTTAGTTTGAAGAAAACCACTGGTCTGCAGTTATTCTCTCCAATTTCAAAATCATCATGAAAGGGACAGAAAGAAACATTCTTTACAAAGAAAATTTTGTTTTGGGAGGAGTAGCCACTAGTAACAGGAATGGCAAGCAGTACAACATGCCATAAGAGGAGTGCAATTTGTTTTATTCATTTATGGGACGTGGCTGTCAGTGGCAAGGCCAGTATTTATTGAACATCTCTAATTGCATTTCAGAAGGTGCTGATGAGCTGCCTTTTTACCTTCACCCTTTTGTTTTGCAAAAGCAGGACACCATACCTTTATTAGATGATTGATCCATTGGTTAAAAGTGCATAGATTCACAGCTTTAATTGAGTCTCAAGAATCAGGAAGAGAATGAATCGAACAGCTCCCAATAGGAATGAATTACATTGAAATATGAGCAGCAGAATCTAGCAGGCACCTTGAAATCTGAAGCTTTTGAAATTAATATTCAAGCCAGAGGAATTCAACTTACTCTCCCATTCTCTGCAGTAACCAGACACCTGATTGTGGCAGTGCTGGAAGGTCAAAAATCTCTGAGATGGCTCCCCTTTTCAGAGATAGGAAACTCCAAGGTAAGTAACTTGGAAATTAGTATGACTATGACAAAAGAAGAAAGCAATCATAGATGATGGTCTGCATGATGTTTTTACAAAAGTGTCGTGATGAAAACAGTGAGACACAAGCCATTGGTAAGCCTAACCTATGGAGATATCTATAATATGACCACATTAACTTTGACATTCCTTTATATGTGCCAACTTGGCTCAATGGTTGTACTTTTGCCTCATAGTCTTCAAATTGTTTGTTCAAGCTCTACTACAAGGATTTGCACTCTTAATCTAGTTTGATATTCCAGGAAGGGTGGTGTTGAGTTTCAATTAAGACATTAAACTGGATTCCCAATTCAGGTTGATGTAAAAGAACTCCTGCTACATTTGTAATGTGATGATGCTATGGCCTTGTGAGGTTATTTTGTTCCTTTTTTTTCAAAAGAGAGATTGAACAAGAGACACAGAGCAGTCTATAAGAGAGTAAACAGCTTGTGAGGTCTTGAGGCTTTTTTTTAAAAAGTTGGAACAATAGAAGCAGCCTGAATGGGTGCAGTCAAGCTCCCACATCTCTCTTTGCTACAGCTGAAAACTGAAGTTCTCTCTCAGAATTGTCTTTTGATGTTCTTTCTTGCATGTGACAATAAAGCTAATTCATTCATTCATTCCTCCCTGGATTAGAGAACTGCATGTGATACAAGCTGTTTTCTGAATTTGCCTTTTGCCAAGGATGTTTTTATGGGATGTTACTATATTAGAACAGTTAATTAGTAATAGTTACTGTATCTATTGTTCTGTTAGGTTTTCCAATAGAGTTAAGTTACTCCAATTCTTTCCTTCTTTTGTTATTTTTAACTATGATGGATTAATAAAGCGTGTCTTGCTTTAAATCTGATAGTTTGACTAATCAAATTGCATCTGGAACGCAACACCTTACATTTATCTTTCAAAAGTTAGGGTCTAGATTATCTTCTGAATGGTTTGAGGGGGTTTGGTCTGGTCCATAACAGTAAAGAATACCAAGTTATTTTCCTGATATCTTGGCAAAAATTTGTCTCTCCATCAACCGCATTAAAATTAGATTACCTTACTGGTCACATCATTTGCTGTTTGTGGGATCTCATTTTATTTGTATTGTCTGCTGTGTTTGCCTAGCTGGAATGGAGGGAAGACAGTTCTAAAACATGTTGTTATGAATTGCTGATCTTTATTATGTTTCAGGTTGTCCTGGTGGGAAGAAGACTGAATTTGTGGCAGGATTGTTGAAGTCCCTCATCATGGACATGGACCAATCTGGTTACCATTCAACATGGAGAAGGTATACTTCAACTAATTTAAGGCTTAAAGGAGGAAGCGTGAGGTTTTCATTATGTGCTGGTACCCTGCACAGCTACCAAAGTTTCACACCCTTCTTGTTTACTGATGTTGAATAAATGTTACTGGAATGTAAACTAATATGTCACATGATCTAGTAAATTCAAGGGCCTGCAACTGAATCTTGGTTTAACAATTGGAATAAGCTTTCCTCTCTAATAATTGGGTTCTGTGTGAAAATAATTCAGACAGTCTAACATACATCCTATAAGCGTGGTTTTATAGTACAAAACATCTCCCTAATTCAGGACAAATTCTTGGTCAATTGATAGCCTCAATCACACATGGCATTTGACTAAATGGTGTAGGAAGTGGAAATGTCAAACTTGTACAGTTGCAAATGGATTATGTTTGAAGTGTATTGTTGGAAAACTGCAGGGCTTTCTTCCAAAACATTTGATCTTGGAGTGCTTGAAACTGACAGTAGTTGATATCATTTCCTGTGTCAAATGGACTAATGACTAAGCATTCCGCTCTGAAAATTTCAGCCAAAAGGTGGGAAAATGCTTCATTCCTTGGTTCTGACATCTCAAACTTTGGTAAGCTCTGATGAAATGTTCCGGACAGTTGACTGTGCCATTGAGATACTTCTGCACTTTCTCTGGTTGCTCTTTATGTATTTGAAAAGTTCCTTTCAACTGCTCTTATTCTGCCAATGTAACTTCATTGGAAGCATGCTGCAAGTTGTTTTTGCATAGGATACTATCATATTCCATACTACTCTTGTCTGGAGATATTACAGGACATTGTTAATTCCTGCTTTAGCTTTAATAAATATTCAAGGAGTTGGAGACACTGAACATATCTGGGTAATATTCTATTAGATCAAGTTAATGAGATAATAAAACAGAATCACTTAAATGCAGTACTCTATAGGTGCTAATTGTGTATGAGGACTCTTTCAGTGAATAGCAAGCATGTTGTCTTAATCATTTACACAGCCTTCAGCAAGACCAGATTAAAACTTCCAAACTTTAGTGTGTGGTATCTTTACAAGTTTTATTAGATAGGACAAATAAGGGTCACCTTGTCTGAAAGAATAGTATGTAGTTGCTCCTAAATTATAATTTAATTGTTAAAATTAATTGTTATTATATGCGGTGCGTACTTATGCTATTTTATTTTATCACAAAAGGCCTTATTCTACAGTGAAGTCCAATTCACATTGTTATTTCTTCCTCACACTGTCTACATGATTATTTTAAAGTTGAGAAATGAGAAAGAAGGACAAATATGAAAAGAGGAGGAAAGAAATTCAGAGATATCACAATGGATGCCTAGATATGGGACCAATATTCAAGCCTGATTAGGAATATGCTTATATTTAATTAATTGTAAAGAGATGAGCATCAGTGACAAGCCAGCATTTATTGCCCATCCCTAATTACTCTTGAGAAGGTGATGATGGGTCTTTTACAGTAACCACTACAGTCTGTCTGGTGAGGATATTCCCCTAATAACATAGGGAGTTCTGGGATTATGACCCTGAACGATCTAGATGTTTGATTAGGATTAGGACCTTTCTCATTTGGCAAGAATCGGAGCTAGGACATTGCTGCTTTACATACGATTGTACAGGTGACAGTCAATGCCCAAATGTTTTCCACTTCTCTGCAGAGTTTCTGAAGGATCTACTAGTTTCCTGTTGGAGGATCGTGCTATTCGCTGGTATTTTGGGAGACTGGACAAGGACTTCAACAATGAGATCTCTGAGAAAGAGCTGAGACCCTTTAAAGTTTACCTGAGGAAGAATGCCAAGCCAAAGAAGTGCACAAGAAAGTTTATAGAATACTGTGACCTTAACAGCAGCAAGTCCATTTCATTGCACGAGCTGAAGGGATGCTTGGGGTTCATCAAAAGCAGAAGTAGGCCTATGTTTTAATGACTTTTTGTCTTCATGTTTATCAAAGTGAAGATGTTAGTGCAGAGATATGGGGAGTAAGTACAGTATAGAAGTTATGTGACTGAATTAGTAACCCAGAAGTCTATATATTAATTTGGTGGTTTGGAGTCTGTTTTGCTTCTTTGACAATTGCAACCACCTTCTGAAACTCACCTGTTACCAAAGCTAAAACAGAAATTTCTGGAAAAACTCAGCAGGTCTGGCAATATTTGTGGACAGAAGGCAGAGTTAATGTTTTGAGTCCAGTGACCTGTTTTCGGAACTCAGTTCTGACATTAACTCTGCTTTCTCTCTACATATGCTGCTCGACCTGCTGAGTATCTCCAGCAATTTCTGTTTTTGTTCATCGGTTACCAAGTTTATCAACTGCATTAAGAATATATATTGTAAATAGTCTGGAACAATGCCTGACTGGGTCAATATCATTGTCATATACTAAGTGCCTATGGTCATCTCAAAATGCTTTTACAATGAGTGTATTGGCTGTCACTATATTCTGGAAGTACCACAGAGACAGTGTAATGAATATCAAGGTCATCACAATGAAGGTCTGTTTTTGACCTATTGCTTCATTTTGTTGATAGTTATGGATCTATTTTATTAATAAATCTTCTTAGCTGTCTGCTGTTAACCTCCATATTGCATGATTGAAGCAAAGAGCTCTTCACTTTGGCAACATTTGTATATTGGCCATGTTTTATATTGTTTCAGAGTTTAGAGTTTATTTGCTCACACATTTTCACTGGAAAGCAGTGCTTAACATCAGCAGAGAGCAGTTTACAAATTTTTGTGTTTTGCCCTGTGACTTCTCAGTATAGAACAAAAATTATGTTGAAGCATGGTTTGGAAAGAACTACAGAAGAATCTGGTCCATTTCTGTGACATTTTATTCTCTTCACTGCTATGTATCTAATCTACTGCAAGCAGTTGTGGTTTTGGAACTTCAGATTCATACACAACATACCTGGATAAAGGGGGTTGGTTAGCTCAGTTGGTTGGATGCCTAGTTTGCAATGCTGAGTTATACCCACAGTGCAAGTTAAATTCCTGTAATGGTTGAGATCACCATGAAGGTCCATCTTCTTAGCCTCACCTGAGGCATGGTGACGCTCAGGTTAAATCCACCACCAGTCATCTCTCTCTCTCTAATGAGAGTGCAGCCCTATAGTACTCTGGAACTATCGCTGTTTGTTTTATTTTAACCTGTACAAAACAGATGCCTAAAGATATTTCTGGAACAAAGATATATGTACTCCCCCACACTCTTATACACATGCCTACAGAAGACACAAACTCCTCCCCCTCACACACAGTCCCACATCCATAAAGGTTACTGTTTGATACCCAATAAGAAGCTGATTTGGATTTGACCTCCAACAGGCAGCTCTTGCAAAATTCCCAACATAGTGTCAAACATTAGATGTGATTCTGTAATTGGACAAAATTTACTGGATAATCCTAAATGGACAAACAATTATACTGACAACTAATTTAGGATTTTCAGTTGGTTTGCAGTGTGGGGCACATATGTGCACCAGAGGCTACTCGTCAGCGATATATAAAGGGGTCTGTTTTTACACACAGAAAGAACTTGTACACACATTGTACCTGCTCAACTCAACAAACTAGGTGACAGCTATTTGCTTGTTCATTTTGCAATCAGTGTCAACCTGTGTCTGGTTTAAATTTTAAACAAGGCTTGGCAGTTAACTGTCAGTCAGTCATTATTAACTGATGCATTCTTCATGGTAAAACTTCTACCAATCACAATACACTTACTAACCAATCTGCACTCTCTTCTTCTACAGGAAAAGTGTTGGTTTCCCCTTACAATGATACCCTTGTGAATTGTCCTGTTTAGTACAAAATTAGAAGCTTCAACAAAAGTGTAATTTTTCTGCAATACTCATGTCTTATACTACCAAATGATTATTAGGATTGTACAAACTGATTTCAAATAGGACACATTGCCATAAAGTAGAAAAGGCTTGCACTGTTTTAAATAATAATCTTGAATCTCTCCTATGGTGTATCTTGTTTTGATCATGCTGATAATTCCTGGCATTTTCCTTCCACTGGAGAGTGACAGTATAAGGGAAGTAGAGGTAGAGCTAGATATGGAAATTGAGTTAACCCACCAACCAGATGAGTTGGGAAAATCCTCTCTTACAGTCTACACTTTCAAAAGTGGAATTTCACTATCACAATGCTAGGATAGTTTTATCTCTATTCCTCTCTCATGTTTTCGTTTACTGTCCAAGAAAAGAGAAAAAAATGGAAGTTTATTTTTGTAGCGACTAACCATGTCTCTCAAGCACACCAATATACCACATTCAATCAGTTATCTTGAATATCTGTAAGTGTTATTAGGAAGTCTCTCAGTCCAAAAGCTGTTAAAGAAGAATTGTAAAGAAAAGGAAAGAGAAGAGCAGGGGTAGCAGTTGAGGAAATGGTTTGCAGACTTTTGGAACACGTGATGATTGTAGTTTCGGCACAGGTTAATTTCCTCTGGGTAAACAGGGCACAAATGGAAACTGTGTACCTAGGAACTGGTCTGTGTTGACAGCTCTCATCACTCTCTCCCCACAGGGTATTCACTTAACAAAAATTGGCTGCAGAGTAGGGTATAACACAAAGGTCTGAGGCCAACAGCCTTACAAAGTTTTGTGCTAACCTGAGTTCCTGTTTGTTCACATATTTTTGTGGTTAAACATTTTGCACATATGGTAACAGATGTCAGCAAGCTCATAAATCAACGTGCCACACGATTTAACTAAATCTAGTGTGTTTGAAGTGAGTAAAGATGTGACGAGTGATTAAATACACATAAAATTAGTTATGCTTCTTTAGGAGTAGAAGGTAAAATTTGACAGCATAGTTAAAAAAAAGGATTCATGTATATCAAAGATTTACACTTTTTAAAAACATCTTTTGTGTTCCTTTTTTCTCTCTTAAAAGAACACCATAGTTAGCTCTATAAAGTAAATAGCCATTTGAATCATAGAAGGTTTTTAACTTCACAAAATATTCTGGGTTGCTTTACGAAGGATTAGGTACTGAACAAGAGTTTGGCAGTAGGTTCCAGTAAAGTGATCATCTTGAATGTTGGTTTTCACTGCAAGAAAGGGTTTGGGGCAAGAATGGGTTTCAGGGTTCTGCAGTGCGAAGACTAAACAACACATTTTATTTTGCAGCCCTACTCAGTGGTTCCTTGTTTTGGATCTAGTTAATTTTCATTTTTCTAGGAGTCTAGGTATTAGAAAAATGTTACTTTGTCCATCATGTCTTTGTTAGCTAGATCGTAGAAGAAGAAGAAGAAGAAGAAGTAGGCATACATAGGAGATATTGTGGCATAGCAAGCCTCTGAGCAGAGCATTCAAGGTTTAAGATTCTCGCTCTAGGACTTGATATCAGCGGAAGGTCTGGTTATAGCATAGTTAAACAGGTTGATTGTTACCACCTGTTATAAGTGTGTTGAAAAGATTTGCAGGTTGACAATGAAAAGATCAAGGTCAATCATGCTTGATGCTCCTCAAGCTATAGGCTCTGGTGAAAGCCTAGTGATCTGCTCCAGGAAAATCAGACTAGAGAAAACAGATGTACTTTGTCTGCAGCATGCATCCCTAGATGGAGAAAGAGGCAATACAGGATCATAATAGCGGGACTAATTATATTTATGATTTAGAAACTTATATAAGGAGACAAAGACACAGCTAATGGTGGGATCTTAATCAACTGAACACAACACAGAGTGACCAGGATGGTGACGTAAAACCAACCTTGGAATCATATGGCCTAACAAAGATAATTGACTCCTCATAACATGTCAGGAAAAGCTCTGGGAGGTATCATGCAACTGTACCTTGCCAGGACATTGACCTATTAGATAAGTTTTAATTACTTTTTAAAGATTCATTTCATTTGTGTAAATATCATGGAAAAGCAAAATTGCAACTTAAGGAACTTTAGAAACAAATCCTACTTTCTAGGTGGTGGTCAGTGCTAGGAGGAATGTTGCCATCTTAGTAGAAGAACTTGAGATACATTTTACCAGTCATCTGTTGATGATTCAGCTAGCCCTATTTAACTGGCTACAATGCCCTGTAGCAGATATTCAATTTAATATTCACCCAAATGTTTTCAGTGCCCATTAAGTTGTCTGTGGAAAATGAATTAATGGAGCAGTCTGTCCTGACTGTTTGCAAAATGAAACTGGGTACAAACTTTCAGGAAGCCAGAAGTTGATGTCCTATTGAGAAACCTTTTTCGGTCTTTGCAGACTGGAATGTCATGGACTCGGTCCCTGGTTTGTGGAAACTGAGTTGGTCTCAATTTCATTAACTTCACTTCACTGGCATAAGGAAATTTATTTAAAAATTAACAGAGGTCAGTTTTCTTATTCAACGAATGTGCAAAATTTCAGATGAGATGTTAAATTAAGTTCCAGTCTTCGCTCTCTGATGAATATAAACAAACCCATTGTACAATTTCTTCCCAAGTATCCTACATAATATTTATTTTTCAGTTAATATCATTAAAAAAGTCTCTTTAAAAAAGGAGCATTAGTTCCTTCATTGGTTGCAAAGCATTTCGGAATGTAATTATTTATTTTCCTTTTTGGAACTGTCTTCCAGATGTGGTTGTGAAGGTAAATGCAGTTTAGATTCTTTCAAGGTGCAAAGATGTATGGTTCTATTTAATTAAGGTTAAGCTCCGATGGGCTGAGTGGGTCTCCTTCATCTGAATTCACCTTATGACTCAAACCTGAAAATGCACACATTAGAAATTCTGGCAAGAATAGGACTGAATCAATTGTAATGCCTGCTTCAATCAAATGGCTTGTCATCAATCACTTTCCAGCAAGAAGCAGTGGAGGTCCAAGAGAAAAAGTTCACATTTTTGGAAGGGAGAACATCAATATTATCCAAGACATGCTCAAGGTGAGTATTTAATTGCCTATTTATAAATGGGGCAAAGGAAATGGCCCTAGCAAGCCACACAGTTCAAAGGCAATTAGAGATGGGCAACACATGTTGGCATAGCCAGTGACACTACGTCACATGAAAGTAAAAAGAAATCTGATCTTTTCTTACACTTGACACAAAATTCAGTTTCTATAGGCAATTACTCTCTTAATTCTTGTATTCTAATCATGACATAATCCTAAAAAAATTGGTTATTGCCTAGTTGAACAGTAGAATGCCTCTGAAAGATCACCCCCAATACCTTTCCATCTTTAATTTATTAATTGAAATGGCTTCAAATGGAAGGCATTACTAAATTCTTGTTTTAAAAGAAAGGATAACGAGAGAAGAATTAAATCCAAAAAAGTTGAGTCAATTTTAATAGTCTTTCTTGGAAGATTTTTCAAGTTATGTGTTGAATCTTATAGGTGAGTTAATAATAGCTTAGTTCCCAGTGGTTGTTGACAATATACATGCCCCTTCTCCATGTCAGTTCTGGTTTTGTCAAAATCATAATCAATTGATTAGAAAGTCAAAATGGCCAAAACATATACTTCTTGAAATGTGGTCTGAACTTTTGAGAAGATATTTTGCACAATATGCACAACTGACCCCAATGTTAGGAATTCTCTTGGAATCTTGTTTCTGTTGATTTTCTGCCAGTTAT